ACATTGAGTAGAATTCTGTCAGCTTAGAACGGGAAAATAGCACAAACGATATGAGTTTGCTCATCGACATTTAATACGCACCCGGGTGGCCGGTTGAACATGCTTCCCTTGGGTGGGGTGCGCGTTAATCTGTCCCTGATATCCCCAAGACCACCAGGGCTAGACACACCAAATACACAAGGTGGAATGGTCTGTATGTAATCTCCCTTGTGTGAACATTCGATGATGCTGATTTGGGGTTTTAGGGCGCATCGACTGCTGTAGGTCATGCAGCGCCCATGTGTGAAAATTCGAGGTCCATAGGTCTTGACCTTGACGTCAAATGACGTCAAGCAAGGTCAACTTCAAGATTGGTATCTAAAGTGCCCGCAGACCGCCTCATGCAACCCGTTTGACTTCCGACTTTGTTTTACCTTTAGACGGTCATGGTGAATAAAAATCAGCGAAATTTTTTTATTTTCAAAATCTGAACAAGCGTTTATGATTACGCTGGGTTGTCCGTCTCTAAAAACAACGTGCTTATCTGGTCCATTTAAACTCAGTGACGTGCACTTTGTCCATGGAAGATGTCTGTTGCGGTCCCTGTTATGAAGAAATTCGAAATGAGCTTCAGGAACTACCCTATAATGCCCGCTCCCAGTCAAAACGCCGGTTGGTTTTGATCTCAGTCTGACCTTCGTACCTGGTCCTTATCTTTTTGTCCTTGGTCCTTATCTTTAAGTCAACTTTTGACACACGCTCGGGTGGGGTTCAAGTTGACCCCCCTCGAGTATTTTTCCGGAATGGTTTCCGAACGCTGCGGCGTATCCGCGCCAAATTTTACATAGCTGTAGGCAATTGAATGTCGGATCGTTCGGCATCAAAAATTCAGTAAGGTCGCTGACCTATGGCAGTTCAAATTCAGGCCATGGTCTCAGCGAAGGCAATTTCTAGGAAATAGTACAATCTGATCCAACAACGGAGTACTAGACGAAGCCATACATCTCTGAGATACTTTCTAAGGCAACACAACAATTGAATGAACAGCTTACATTGCCCTGGGATCAGGTAGGAAGTTCAGGTCAAGGTCAAAATCAACTTGCTTTCTTACCCTAGTGCTTGCTGAAAGGGGTAGTTTCTGGTGCTTATTTCCAATTTATTGATGACAGGAACCGCATAATACACCTTTCATAGACTTCTTAACCGTCAGAACAGGTCAGTGAACTAAAATGACCCAGGTCAATATTTTGTTTTGAGGAGCATACTGCCTAGCGTAATCTTTGTTGCTTATCCAAGTGCAGAACTCAAAGCGATCTTATGGTTTCGGTCACCATGGCCTCCAAAAGTTCAAACGAGGTTACTGGCCCTGATGAGCACGTGACTTTTTGCTCAAACAGTTATCTAGGTTCCAGGGGCCCTTTGGAGACCAACCTGGAATTTCACCTTGTTTGACTCTCTTTGGTCCGAAGGTCATGACTTAAGTGCCTCAAAATTTGACCTAAGTGATTAACGTACAGGTCAACACATCCTGTGAATTTAGTGCATTGCAGCGGCACGAGGTCAACACCCCGTCGTGTGGGTCACCAATAGGTGGCGCCGAGTGCTGTTATTGTGTGTGTGATATTGTGCGCTGTGTATGTCTTCATAGTTTCGCTGCACTGTTAATGTTGAGCAAGGATGTGAGTGATATTCCTACCACAGAACGATTGCTAGTATAGCTATTGTTTGGCCGCTAATGGCATATTGACTACCGTAACAAGCAGATGTTGACTGGCGTCAAGTGATGTAGTCGAACCGAGCCATGGCGGTGGTAATATATTTCGTGTAACATGACAACGCAGTAGTCTTCGAGATCTGTCCCTCTTTGGACGCGTTTCCCTGTCTGTCAGTCCGGGTCGGCATCACGTCAATGCCGGCACCGGTTTTTTTTCAAACCTGACCAGCGCAAGCAACGCAGCAGTGCTAGTCCCAGCCACTCGGCCGCAACCAGCCGGTTGACAGCCCGAGTCCTGAGGTGCAGGCGTTTACGCTTGTGTCGTACTGCACGGGGGCTCGGGTTGTCAGCTGAAGAAAACTACAGGGTACTACTGCCACCTTTCTCTTTCGTCGCCGAAAACAGTGGCATGCGCGACGGTATCTCGCTCTCTTAGTTCCAGATATTTCAGGAGGATCACATTGACCCCCACCCGGGCGCGTGTTAACAGTCTTCTTTATGGCCCTATATCAGCCGCCGTCTTCTAGACACACATAACCCCCCGCTGCATACGCTGGACCCGCCGGCCGAGTAACTCAACCTCGGTCGGTGACACGCGATTGTATCAGGCGCGTGGCCGGGTGAGTTATGCGCAGCTACTAGGCTCTCTTCCGTTCGAGCCCAGGCATGATCATTCACCATGTTCTCCGTTCCATGGGAACCTATGCATAGAATCCGTAACGCGATTCGATGCTTCCTTTAAAAAGTCGCCCTCAGCGTCTAACCGGCCATCCATTGCATTCGATATTTCCAGAACCGCAATGATTGGCTTAGCCGAACATCGTGCGATATCGCACTAGCTTCTCATTGCTCAACTTTGGCATCATTTCCGTCACATGTGAACATGACACGTTTCCGATGTACGTAGTACATAAGCCGTATCGTTGGTGACCAAGTATGCTCATGTATGTCTCTGGACTTAGAGACGCAAGGCTGTTGTTGGTTGTGCGCATGGACATTCTGGTGTGAGTATTGGTGAGTGGAAATTACTGGAAATGGAAACTGTTAGCTGGCAATAGTTATTTTTTTCTGACTCGCTAGACAGACTAGCACGAGCGGGGTCTGCAATAATTAAGCTATCACGAAAGCGGCGAGAAATCTCCCTTAGTCCTAGATTAATAGACTTTGTTATAATCCTAAATCGAAGTGTTTTATAACTAGCACCTATTTTAGAGACGCATGGAGCCGCCTAATACTCCACTGTGGCCTCCGATTGAATGATTCCTTAGAAATCGTCTTCGCTGGCAATCACAGCTTGAATTTGGCCTGCCACTAGCCAGCGACCTTCCAAGCTGCATTTTGTTTTGCATATCAAAAGACCCACTTTCCCATTGTCTACGCACAGCTATACAAACTTGAGCGTGGCTACGCCGCGCCGTTCGGAACCTAAACTATGAAAACCTTCGGGGGGGAGGAGGGGTGGGGGGGGGGGGGGCAAAATGGTCCCCCATCCGAGCGCTTGTTAGAGCAGAGCATATTTGTATGCAATGCATATTTAAGTAGTTCACTTCCATTCGCCTCCGGATGTGACGTAAAAATCTTCGGGGGGGTGGGGGGGCAGATGGTCCCCCCACCCGATCACGTGTTAAGGCATAGCATGCTTGTTTGCTATTCATATCTAAGCGGTTCATTTGAATTGCCCTCCAGATGTGATATCTCTTAAAGCAATGCGCCCGGTCCTGGTGACGGTGACCCCCGTCCTGTTGAGGGTGACCTCCGTCCTGTTGAGGGTGACCTCCGTCCTGTTCAGGGCAACCTCCGTCCTGTTGAGGGTGACCTCCGTCCTGTTGAGGGTGACCTCCGTCCTGTTGAGGGTGACCCCCGTCCTGTTGAGGGTACCCTCCGTCCTGTTGAGGGTAACCTCCGTCCTGTTGAGGGTAACCTCCGTCCTGTTGAGGGTGACCTCCGTCCTGTTGAGGGTGACCTCCGTCCTGTTGAGGGTGACCTCCGTCCTGTTGAGGGTAACCTCCGTCCTGTTGAGGGTGACCTCCGTCCTGTTGAGGGTAACCTCCGTCCTGTTGAGGGTGACCTCCGTCCTGTTGAGGGTGACCTCCGTCCTGTTGAGGGTGACCTCCGTCCTGTTGAGGGTGACCTCCGTCCTGTTGAGGGTGACCTCCGTCCTGTTGAGGGTAACCTCCGTCCTGTTGAGGGTGACCTCCGTCCTGTTGAGGGTGACCTCCGTCCAGCCCGATCCGAGGCCACCTAAGCCGAGCGCCACACAGCGTGCGGTCCGGTCGAAGCCTCAGCGTCTGCACGCCCGGCTGGTTAGCCGGCTTGGCCTCACAGGCCGCCCGCCTCCGCGATCAGTACAGCAGCCTGCTTCGAAAGCGCTGCCGAGTCTCCGTATTTGGGGGCTCTCGTAATTTCCGTCGCCGCGGATCATAGATGGTGTTGATTTATTTTTGGCTGCCAGTTTGTCAAGTGTAATAAGGAACGCGTCTTGACTTTTACCTAGGAAACCGAAAGAAAGAATGAGCGAAAGAGAGAGAGAGAGAGAGAGAGAGAGAGAGAGAGAGAGAGAGAGAGAGAGAGAGAGAGAGAGAGAGAGAGAGAGAGAGAGAGAGAGAGAGAGAGAGAGAGAGAGAGAGAGAGAGAGAGAGAGAGAGAGAGAGAGAGAGAGAGAGAGAGAGAGAGAGAGAGAGAGAGAGAGAGAGAGAGAGAGAGAGAGAGAGAGAGAGAGAGAGAGAGAGAGAGAGAGAGAGAGAGAGAGAGAGAGAGAGAGAGAGAGAGAGGAGAGAGAGAGAGAGAGAGAGAGAGAGAGAGAGAGAGAGAGAGAGAGAGAGAGAGAGAGAGAGAGAGAGAGAGAGAGAGAGAGAGAGAGAGAGAGAGAGAGAGAAGAGAGAGAGAGAGAAGAGAGAGAGAGAAGGAAAAGAGAGATAGAGGGTGAGTGAGTGAGCAAGAGAGCGAGTGAGTGAGTGAGTGATGAGTGAGTGAGTGAGTGAGTGAGTGAGTGAGTGAGTGAGTGAGTGAGTGAGTGAGTGAATGAATGAATGAGTGAGCGAGTGAGTTGAGTGAGTGAGAGATAGGGAGGGAGGGAGAGAAGAAAATTGTTATAAGCCGCATTGAACTTTTGGGACAAGTCTCAGTACAGACGGAGTGTCAGTGCAGACGGAACGTCAGGGCACACAGAGTCAGCACTCAGACTTCTATCGCGTTTACTGGCGTTATTGTTTACACAGTGCTTCGAAGGTCTAGCTGTATGGACACCGTAAGATGTGAGTCGGTTCCTCCGCCGTTACGTCGGCAGACCGGTGTACAGCGGCCTCACCTTGAATGTCAGCAGGTAGAGCGGCAGGTTCCAGGGCGAGATCAGGGCCGCCACGCCCACCGGCTGACGCAGCGTGTAATTGAGCACGCCCGGCGTGGGCGTGTTGGACCTGCGCACGTCGCGACAGGCGTCAGAGTCTCACGTGCAGTGCAGGTGAAACTCCCTAAACCAGGACGTTTCACTTGCATTGTGCTGCTGACGTAAATTTGTTCGGTGCCAATGACATTGGCAGAAGCGGGCAGGCCCACGCACGTACGCACGCACGCACGCACGCAAACACGCATGCAGGTACACACGCACGCACGCACGCACGCACGCACGCACGCACGCACGCACGCACGCACGCACGCACGCACGCACGCACACCCACACGCACACCCACCCACACGCACATGCACACGCACTATATGTATACTTATACATGTATATATATATATATATATATATATATATATATATATATATATATATATATACCCGACGCTAAGGCCCTCCCATGAGTGGTAAAAACTAAACATCTACCCTTATAATGATGCGTGCAAAAAGCATCTTGTCGAAACGTGTTTTTTAGGAATGAGGTTGAATTCCAGACGATGGGCTATGAGGGTGCACGTTAGCGCCAGCCCCATTTCCATTGCTGCTCATGCCCTAACAAAATCTTTGGATTTGAAGGTGGCTGGTCGCTCTGAAGTGCGTAACATCTGTTAGGGTATCCGAACTAGAGGCGTCGCTCCGCAGGCCAGGTGTTGTTTTGACCCAGTTTTTGACCCAGTGAGGGCGCCATTAGTTGGCGCGGAGCCGGGCCTTGGGCGTTGCTCACGTCGCTAATTGGTGATTGACGGACTCGGCGTAGGCGCGGAAGTTCAGCACCGCCCTGGGGATGTCGACAGCCTTGGCCAGCCAGACCGGCTTGCCCTGGTCACGTGACTCGGCCGCGGCGAACTCGTCCAGTCGTGACTCCAAGATGGCGGCGGCCTTGAGGCAGAAGTCCGTCCGCTGCTGGACCGGCAGTTTAGACCAGCTGAACAGGGATCAGTCGTGTGAGACAGGCAGAACGCGGAGACAGTTTGATCAATGATCGCAAACAAGCGCAGCACGTCGCCGTGCATTCCTTTCACTTTGCGTCGATGCGAACGGGGGACGTGCCAGCACCTATTGGTCGCGCAGGGGTGTCAATATCTTTCGACTTGATGTATCAGGTCGGCGACAAAAGTGTATGTTTTCATTTATACATCATCATAAAAATATATTCACAACAAGCTTTGTGCCAAAAATGCTTTTGGCAGAAAATTTCAGAAACAGCCAAGACGAAAGGATACCGTTTTCTCTGCAGAACTAAAATAAGGTCTCCAAACAGAGATATTATGCTTCCATGGTAACACATTTCATCACACAACACAAGCAATCCTTTTCGTAGAGGCTCTTTACCTCTACCGATGATACCATGTTTTTTTATACGTTTCGTCCCATCCCGATGACAGCATTATCATATAATTTTAGATGGTCGCTCGCATTGGTGACAGGTCGACGACAAATCAGTATATTTCTTATGGCACGGCCGGTCGACCGATTCGCTGCTTTTACCAGCCGACTCTCAGTGTCTCAATCTAGACAATATAAAATGCCGAAAAGATCTAGATATGTGGATTCATCCGGCCGCAAAGCCATGTTTCAATTATTGCGATGCGACTGATATGAGATGGGTGGTGACTTTCAATGTACTGCGACTCTGCAAGCGGCATTCGCATTCCAGTGTCATGAATGCCTGCCTAGGATTCATTTTTTGGGTCCTGTGTACTTTGTTGGCGGTGCCGGGATTTAGCACCTCTCCCTAGCGATTGACAGTTCAGGGGAAGTGGGCGAGATGATCCGATTCGAGATAGAGATTGACCTGTGATTGTCCAAACCGCCTGCTCAAGACAGAAAAGGCTGTTGACTCACTGCAGCAGTCACAAGCGACCAGCCCTCCTCCCTTTGAAGTGAACCGTGAGTTCGATGTTGAAGTCTGATGGCATTCCTTATCAAAGGGAGTGGCAGGATATGATAATGGTTCTGAAGTGTCAATTCATGCCATGCTTGCTCTTGCCTTGATTGCGAATAGTAACCAGTCACATATACCTACAAATCCGAGGTGTACCTAGTTTCCTATCCAGTTCAGAGCTCCATTCCCTCCTAAGTTTGTGAAAAAGTGTGCCAATCTGGGAGACATCCATATTGTGGGGTAGATTGCAGCATTTGCCACTGCTCCCTCCAACCATTTTTCAAAAATATATGCCCCTGCTTGAAATACAATTATTTGATCGATGTTTTGTCAGCATTTACACAATTATTCACACTTTACCCTTTTGCCAACATTATCTTGCTTGCTCGAAATCTATATGATAGCCAATTATATAGCCAATGGGACGCAATTGAAAGTGAGGAGTGAGGTGGTGCGGCAAACGTAGGCAATTAGGGGGGGGGGACAACTTCCATTGCTTCTCCCCCTTAACCAAGACCTTTACTGCAAATGTGAGTTATAGGAGGTCTTGTGGTATTGTGGTCCAACTGTCCTATGAGTTCAGTGAAAGATGGACATTTGGTTGTCTTTGAGGACAATGTTGGCTATTTCTGATGATAGCAACCCTACACTAAGAGAAAATCTCTGGAAATGATTTGTTCTGCAGTGTTCATTCATATGCAAAGTTTCCTTGCATTTGTGAGCAAGGCACTTGCATGGATGCAAATATGGTGTATTTTATTGCTGTTTTAGCGAACATGGATTTCAAAATTGTCCGGATGGAATCCTTAGCGTAATCGCTGTATGCATTAAATGCTGGTTGTGAGGTCAGGTAGCCTACGTAATATGCAGCCTACAATGATAAAAAATAATTATTGGTTGTGTGGTGTGGCATAATGACAGGAGTGTCAATTCTTATACATATTGGGGGGGGGGGGAGATAGCAGCCCATGGGTCATGATCAATGAAACAAACCTAGAGGAGATGGTTTTGTGTTTGAGTTAGTTTGTCCCATAATTGCAGCTATCTTCCCGCTAAAAGTGTTTGGGGAGGAAGAATCAGCATTGAAGGAGCCCAACCCGACATGGAAGTTAGATGGGGCCCGAAATGTTTATTCGAATTAATACTCCTGCATTATACGCGACAAGTATCACAGGAAAACTTAGATTTGCATGCTACTTACCAAGCAAAGAGCGATTTTGGTTGGCTGACTACATTTCTAGTAATGTTTGGATGTGAGCAACGAAGCGTGTCATTCTGCTTTGCCAGATGTTTCCATTTTTTGAAATGCAGAGTTCTACACCAGCGTATATAACACCAGCGTATGCACCAGCGTATACTTCATCAGCATATACAGCGTATAACGATAAATAAAAAGGAATGGTGGCTGACAATCTTAACCTTACCATGCTTCGCCGGGTTTTCATGACGTGGACTGATAGGAGGGGGAGGGGTGGCGACATGCCGTTTGCAACCTAAGAAAGGTAGAGACACGCGAGAAAAAAGCAAGGAACTGTCATTGACAAGATCTTGCGATTGGTAAGAACTCTTCTTCTGTTAACTGACCCCACTAGACCAAATCCAAGGTCAAATTTTCCTCAAAATCATTATATTTCAGCTTTGTATGTCTGTATGTACGAAACCATGCAGCGTAGAGACATTGGACATAAAGATGCGTATTTCTTGTTGATTATGGGTACCATGGCGCGTAGATTTATTTTTCGAGCCTATATTTATAACGTAGGGCTTCGTTGATGTCACAGTGCCAGCCCGCCGCGCGCTGTCCGCAACCTTGTCACTTGCCGCCCACCGCCTCTGCTGCCCTTGGACTGTCTTGCAATGCTCGCAAAAACACCGGCACTCCGAAACCAGAATTGCGAGGGACATGTCTCTGGTGTTAACACACGCCCAACGGGTGCCCCTGGGACTATCAAAGATCTGAGGGAGACCGCACAATATGTCGGACTAGCATCCTCGGAAATCCGTAAGGAGGGGGGGGGGGCGTAGCATCGCCCCCCCCCCCCCTTTCCCTCCTGTCCGGGTGGCTATATTGTTCTGAAAGAACTAGCGGCCTGACGTAAAACTTTTAACAAATGTTAATACAATTTTCTTCTTGGGGCACGGCGAAAGGCGCCCACCAGGCAACGCATATCGCGCCAGGCTTGGGGCGCGCCTCAGGTGTGGTGGTTAGTTTGATGACGGTTAAGATGAGGCTCGAAGCGCACACGTGATTTTCGTAAGGGGGCATGGCCTCGAGGAGGCCTGCATATTGGGCGCCATCCCCAGTACTGCCTGCCACCGGTTCGAACTCTGCCATATATATTGATTCCCTGATTATCGGGGCCCTTCACTGTCGTTTTTTTTTGCAGTCGAGGAAAGCAAAACCAGCCGTAGATCGAGTTTAGACGTGAGGCCCCGGCAAGTTCCGAGGGTGGAAGAAAACTCCTGTTGTGATTGGGCTATCTCATTAGTCTAGGGCAAGTACACCTGCTTTCTTAGCAGCGGCACACACCCTGACATTTGCTGAAGAATAGGGTATAATTGAGCATTTGGGTTGTGTGCATGATATCGCAAACTGCAGTAATGAAAGAGGCTTTCGGTAATTACTGATGACACTACTGGGCATGGACTTTGTCATATGGCAGCACATGACCTTGCTGGCGACAACTTTGGCTCTAGAAATTTGGTCGGCGACAAAAAGTACACTTAAACCACCCGTGAGATCGCGTTTCCCGCCAGGGGTCGAATCCGGTCCTCAAACGGGGAACTCAAAGCTCACCCAACGGAGACATCGCGCTGTGGTGGGAGATCGGTTAGACAACGTAGGCATCGCGCTGTGGTGGGAGATCGGTTAGACAACGTAGGCATCGCGCTGTGGTGGGAGATCGGCTAGACAACGTAGGCATCGCGCTGTGGTGGGAGATCGGCTAGACAACGTAGGCATCGCGCTGTGGTGGGAGATCGGTTAGACAACGGAGACATCGCGCTGTGGTGGGAGATCGGTTAGACACCGAGTGGACGCGAGAGAGGAGATGCCCCAAGTGCGGCAGACATCCGAAAACAGCTTAAAGGAAATGCTCCACAATTGAGCAAATTGAAGCAAGCATCAGATAGGACGAAATGAGCTCACCTTTGATCATTGGTATATATTCCAAGTGGACAAAACTGTTGCAGACAACACAATTTCTAGATGTAGTGAAAATTATCCTCAATGTGTCATATTTGACTGCGTTATTGCACCTTGCACAATATGGACTGAGGGCCAGTTGACGGCCGTTGTGTGTGGAACGCCAGATATAAACAGCCTGACATCTGTATTTTTCGTGGCCTTGACCATACCATTGAGGTCATACTCAGCGCCCTCGACGCCCCGCGGAGCCTGCTACATTAACCGTGCACGACGCTCCGGCACCGCTGTGTTCGACACACAGCTATACCGTGACTCATGCAGCCTGAAAGGTGGCGGCCTTGCAACCGCCAGAAATGGCGGGTGATTCACGTGTTCCATGAAGGCATCTTGCGAAGTTAAAACCGCTGGCGTTTATCACGTGGTGCAATGACTAACCGCTATGCAGCCCATGAGATCGTGCAAGGACTAACCGCCATGCAGCTCATGAGAGCGTGCAAGGACTAACCGCCATGCAGCTCATCAGAGCCTGCACGGCTCGATCGCACCTGACGTAGAATGCAGTTTCATAAACTCGGCTCAGCGGAGTCGCACGACGCCCTTCTTTTACTATCAGAATCAAGCACACCTCCGATTCCGACGATTCCGGTCCCCACCTTCTTTAAAATTGTGTGCTATTGCACTGGGTCGCCATAAATACCCCACGGAAAATCCTTCCGTAACTGCCTACCCCAAGACAATCGCCAGAGACTGCGATGAATATTCGTTACACTTTACTCAGATGACCCGACCCACACTAATGAAATTCAACCTGTCAAAACGTGTTTGAGTTACACGTGAAAAAGTTGCGGTACTCGTCCTGATTCGCATCATTGATGTGATCAGAAACATCAGTGACAAGCGCCTATCACCAAGCTAGATACGGCTCTGACCAATGGCTGGTTATTGCAGCTAATTATGCTAATTATGCTTGTAGAGCCCGCTTTCAGCACCCTTTTGCAAAACATCGTTAGAGATGCCGATCCAAACCCGGTGACACAGCGAGCCCCGTCGCCCTGTCTTGGCGACAGACTCTTGTCGCAGCGTTTACAGCAGCGGCAGCCAACAGGAGTGCGTGTTCGCTAGTCATGCCTTCCAAACGCTGTTATCATTGTATTTTTTCAACGCATTCAGTTGCTGAGGCTATGTGACGTCGCCCGCCTCTCACCCTGGCACGAATAGCAAGCACCGCGGGGAATCGAACCCCCATACCCCTGGTCTGCCAGGTGAACAGCTCAACCACCCCAGTACCTAGGTAGGCGCAGCCAATCGTGGGAAAGGGCGACAGGGTTGACAAAGGGCCCTGCAGGTGAGAGACCCCCCCCCCCAAAAAAAAAAATCACTGGGTTTGACACACATTACTTCTGGGGAGCGAATTTTGTTTTCATGTTTCTACCCTCCAATACATCTTCTTCTCCTATATGCTATATTTACACGTCGTTCGTTCTAAAGAAACCAACACCAAGAATGTCTTTGTTGGACGCGATCTCTCCAGTATGTTGGCAAACAGACACGGACCGAGGAGACGCCCCTTCCTCCCCCCCCCCCCCCTGCCGACGGGGATGGGCCGATCCCGCCCGGCCGGCCAGAATTCACCTGGTGAAGGCCGCGGCTGCGGCGGCCACAGCCTCGTCCACTTCCGGCTGGCCGCTGTCCGGCACAGTGAGGCCCACTTGAGCCGTGCTGGGGTCGTAGCTGTCCAGCCGAGCCGGCACGGTCACGAACCGGCCGCCGATGTAGTTCTGCAGGTGGAGCGTCATGGCGCCGCTGGAGCCGCTGGAACGGAACCAAGCTGGTCAGGGGCAGCGAGAGCAGCACACCTATGTTCGACTCAATTTTTTTATCAAGTCAGTGCTGACTTAGATTTGTGGATCCGAATCAGCTCACGACTCATAACCTTTCCATTTTTTTATCGACTCAGTTCAGACTCATGGCTTGCGTTGGGTCATTTGACTCATGACTCACACAGCCCGCCAATCACAGATCTGATTCAGTTGTATATATATATATATATATATATATATATATATATATATATATATATATATGTGAATAACCCAGTAGCAGGTATGTAGTTTGAGCCTACCAAATTCAGTGCGGTAAACCGGCGCCGACTGTCGTTTCCTGTGGCCTGTCACCGACCAGCCCTCCTAAGTCTTAGCTACCAGGCTGGCATATTCTTCCTGGCACATATGACCCAGACCCATGAGCCATACAACATGCAGCGTGGACAAGACTGCACCTAATTTGATCTTTGGCAGTCTGCACTTTCCCGGTACCAGCCAAGTGCATTCACAGGTAAGGAATTTCATTTCCCATAGCCAGTACCGGCCATACGGTCAGCAATGGAATCAGATGTGAGCACGTTAACATTAGATTGCAGTTCTTGCGATAGCGGTGAGCTAGCATAAGTTGCATACATAATATGGCCTTATCTACTTACCGCAACTTAATCAGTATCACCAATTACAGTTTCATTTACTCTATTGTTGTGACAATTGACAATGAACAGCTCTGTTACAGGTTCTGTTAAATTTTGTTTTTCTGTTCTAGTTTTTTAATGCAGCATCATCCAATTTCATAAATGTATTTTTCAACGGTTTTGGTGTGATCGCGTTTCGATCTGGGATGAAGATGGTTTAAGCCGGGCTTGGAAACGGTTACAGAAATCCATTTAGCTTTTGTATAGTGGTACAAAATTAGCTGTACGTTACAATGAACATAGCTCAGCTTGGTCAGCTTGGTTTTGGCCATTCAGAGGTCTCCAGCAGGGGAGCCCAGCTTCTGCATCCATTTTCACCCTCGGTGTCAAAATTTTGGCATAAAAATTCCAACGGCCAATGATGTTCGAGGAATATAATGCAATGATGTGGCATCTGTTAATTCCCAGTATTTCGATGACAGCAATTCTTGTCAATGATCTTAGTATGGCCGAGCACTTTCGTGGCTTAAAACAGCATTGTGTTAACGTTTCCGGCTTACCGTTGAGTTCAAATAAGTGTGACCTCATGTGGAAAGGAAGACAGAAAAAATCCAAACAGTTGGTATGTGGTAAAGTTCCAGCGTCTGCAGTTGAAATACTCGATGTATGGCTTAGCGCCGGCGCTAACGACCGGAGGGAGAACATCCATCTCACAACAGGTCAAATTAAACCCACCTCGGGTGCATGGCTGTAAAGAGCCTTAACGCTTAAGGGAAGAACGATTATTGCTTTTAAGTTCAAGGGTAGTGGTAGACTGACGGCGTGCCACTACCGCCGACAGACTACGCCGGCGGTAGTGGCACGCCGGATCCTCTGTCCGCGACACGTTAATGTATAAGAACGAAAACCGCCATGGTATCTATGACCATCACGCCATGGTATCGATTATCATCACGCCATGGTATAGATGATCACCACGCCATGGTATTGATGATCATCATGCCATGGTATTGATGATCATCACGCCATGGTATTGATGATCATCAGCGGCGCGTGTGGTCGCGGTGACACTACGCTTGATTTCGCCGAGATCTATTCAGTGGTTCTTAAACCAGCGTCATTGCATTTTATCAACAGCGGTTTTGCCTCTGGGATACTGCCAGGGAAGAGGCTTATCATCTGTGGGCCTGACTGTTAGATCTAGCCACATTGGCGGATATCAAACCAACTATGAGTACTTTCATAGTGCCTATGCTAAAATGGAAGCTGGTGTACGAGCAGCTTACGACACATTTGACATGGCATGCCCTGATAGCTCGAGCCCCTACAGGCTGCGGAGGGGTAATGTCACTGGGGCGGCAATCCCGAGTATTTCAGATAGTATATGCGAGCCATGGTTGTTCGTGTCATGGATTGGACATCATCATGGACAAATCGTAACATGGATTCAGGTTACGTTCCAGAGTAACGACACTGTACTCGCGAATGCATCGTTCGCCTTTGCAGGGGATTGACAGAAATGAAACGGCTCAACAAGGCAGGAAGGGAGCTGGGTGCCATCACGAAAGGCATGACAGAACGTTTATCCATCGGACATACACTTTTTAAAATACAATTTTATCGCACAAGACGCAGTCCGAGCTTAACACTGAAAAAGCACTCATGCAAGTAGCGACTTGGCAACATACCTACAGGCATTCCAGTCATGCTTCAGTGGTCTGGTCACTAAAAGCCCCTATATCGTCAGGGATCTTCAAACCTATTCAACAGTGGCAGTAGACCGCAACAGCCCATACAGTCGCCAGGAAAATGTGTTTCCCATGCTCAAAAGTTTCCAGTCAAGACTGCAACAAGCACATTGCTCTACCTGTTGCTGCCGGGCCAAATATAAAACAGATGTAACTTCCTTAACACGTGTCACAGTTCTGGGTATCTGGGTCGTCGGTGCATGTTGCACTTCCTTACGACCTTTCTCGACAATGGGCCACGTGCCGAAGTGGAACACGGTTAAACGGATGTGGATGTGGACAAAATGTGGAAATCTTTAAAGCTCTGTTTCACAGCTACACCGACGACCCTGCTGGTTAGTGAACAGCGTTAAGCTAGATGGAAGCATATTTTTTATTACATTATTACACATTTCAGTTTTATACTCACAGTGAAACAGCGAGCTGTGGCCCATTTCCAGCACATGGACAGCCAATGCAATATGCCACATCCGGTTACAACACGACTAACATCAAACTAATACCACATTAACAACACATTTGATCCAGTCTTCACAAACATTCACATTCACAACACATTCAATACCCTTTATCACTGTTACCACTCCTACGCCTGCGTCGCTCACTCCTCATGACAGTTAGCTTGACATACACGGTGCAATCGCACAGGTGGCTGACGACGCACATTGTCCCAGGGTGTGCGACGACCAGGTCTTAACGCACGCTAATCATCTCACTGCGACAGCCCCTCCCCATCAGTTCCCTCTCATCCCACTCATGCTACTCATGCTACAATGGTGCTGAGCTATTATTGCGGACATGCATGCTATAATCCAAAACGCAGCAAAAATATCGACGGTTGCATGGGTGATTATAGGCTTGGATGCGTGCAGGCTATTTCATCCGTTTAAAATGTATTTAGGAAATGACGCTTGATCACCTTCGGAGATAATAAATGTCTTTTGAAAAGATGCTGTAGTGGGTTCTAAAATTTAGTTAGGTAGTGCTAAAAGTTCCTGAAAAAGTGCCGCCACTGATTAATTAATGTATACCCATTTGACCAGCAGTGGCAGTTTCGGGCCGACCGAACTAGCTCCTCACTGTTCCGCTGGTTGGATGGAAGGGGAGGGGGGCTGATCATGTTGGACGTGCCGGCATGCCTCTCGAAGCTGGTTGGCGCGTCTCTGGGACGTTTGGTCGGCATGCGTAAAATGCGGGTGACGCCTTCCCGACTACACTGTGCTCTTATCAGTCGGCCTGGACGTAAAGGCCCTGGTGCGTCTCCGAGCGTCTCGATGCGGACAGCACGACGCCTGGCTTGTCAACTGTTATGACCCTTGTGATAGTATTCCTGCTTCCTCCGCATCCGCCATTTTGTAAATATACCATTACCTGGCATCGTACGTCATGCCCGTGTCATGTTTCTATTTTGCATGTGCTTTACATCCGGTATATCACAACATATGCAAGTAAATCATCAATTGCTCGTGGCTGTTATCTTTCTGTATATGTCCTGCATTGCAAACATGGGCAGAATTGTCGCTTTTTGGCAATGGGTTATTCTTCCACCAACCTGCTCACCTTATGTTGATGGTGAGTTCGAAATGTTGCATAATGATGTCACGGGTTAAAAATCTAGCCAACTTTGGAGGGTTAAAAGCGTCAGTTACGCCGAGACAACGTCAAATATTAAATTCAACGCCAAACTTAGCAAGTTTGCGCATGTAGGTGACCAACACAGTGGCCGGATATCATGTGACGTTTAACATATAATGGCAGGCAATTTGGCCGAGGATGTGCCTTGGTGACCGAACAAAATAAAGGGAAGGCATTTACATGCAAGGTGTTAAGATGTTTTAAACTGGAGCTCATTAGAAGAATACGTCATATCACACTGTTCCAATCCCTGACACGAGAAGCCTTCTGAATCGCGCAGTCAGTCCCGGATCAGCACAGGGACCCTCATTGACGCAACAACATCCCTGATCACCGCAGGCAGTCCGATAGTTTTCACACAGACTCCAGTTCCATGTTTTTCTGTGTTCTTCAGAGATATTGAGTTCTCCTTGACTGTAGATTGCGGATGAAATGGGGTTCATAGTTTGTATTAACATGGCCAGCCCATGTTCGTCTTATAATGCTCAAGCTCCTATCAGAGCTGATTACTGATAAGAAAACTACGTAACATGGTGTTGAATATGCGTGCTCGCGAGTCACAGCAATAACAGCCTCGACGCCCGGCGTTGCAGTCTCCAGACCGTGCGACTTTGGCCTTGCGGCTGTAGCACTAAGTGGTGGTCAATGAGCAAACGAAAAAGATGACGCGTCTTAAGGGAGATGGCCGGCGAACTAGGTAAATCGGCATGCATGCTTAATGCGGAGCAAAAGTAACCTAAATGCAATACCAATCTGAAAAGTGGGGCGCCAGTTAACATTGCTGCCCCCCTGGCCTCCCTGTTCCTACGCCCATGGCTTGAGCAACTTGAAAAGTATGGCTGGTGACGATATCGCGTATTTTAATCAGCTTCCAGCTACTTACCGGCACGCCGAAGGACTCTACAGCTGGCAGAATCGTGCTTGTGCCGCACAAATACCTCACAACCTTGTCCTGGTCAAATCTGAAGAGG